GTAGGATATATTGCGAGAATTTGGGTTTGCAAGAAAACCTAAAAAAAAAAAAAAAAAAAAGTACTAATGATATCCACAGTATTGCAATTTGAACTGCTCAACGCCCCACGATCCATGTCTCCATCCATGTCAACACCTTCCTGAGAAATGTAGGTCATGTTTTTGGCAGAGTTGTGCATCATTCCTTCACTAAGAGAAGTGTTAGAACAGAGAAAACTGCACTATGTCTTGTCCAACCAAATACATGCAATTACTGAAGAGTAATGCGAGATGTTTGGAAGTTGGACCCAACACAAATGTTCTTTGCAGCTTGAAAATTAAACTTTTTTTTTTAAGTGTATATTGCATGCTTTTAGGCATTTCTGTTGATTAGATTAGTTAAGTAATGATTGGCTTGAAAGTGTTGTAGAGCATGGGTAAAAGCTACTGGCTACATTTCAATGCGGTGTTCTTCTTTTTGAATTTATAGTTATAAATCTATATTTGCTTGTTAAAGTTGCAGACCACAATCAAATCTACAAAATGTCTCTGATTTAATTTTAGGAAGCTCCCTTGAGTCCATCCTGTATTGTCCTGCATCGACACTGATTTAGCTTTCAGGCCTTGTTGGTTATGCAGAAGTAGGAATAGGATTTCTTTTGTTCCATTTACTAAATCTTGTGCTCACTTTGCTTACATAAACAAAACACTTTGGTTCTTGCACGCACCCAGCCATAAACCTGGATGTCCTGTCTCAAATGCTCACACACCTCACCTCTCCAAGGTGCACATATATCCAAGCACATATTTGATTTGCATTTTTTTCTTTCACGGTTTCTTTTTTTATCCCTCTCCCCTCCAGCCCCCTTTAGTTATTTTTCTCTTTGTGGGGTCTCCCTACCCTCTGGCAATTTAAGCCCCAGATTCCACAGTCATGGCTGCAGTGCAAGCTATTAATACAGTTTGTTTAGTCAGTTTCCTAGCAGGCGGCGTCAAACACTGGATGGCTGTGGCTGATTATAGCTGGGACTTGTTCCCTTACACCTGCTGAGTCGGAGAAATCCAAGTTAATGTTGGGACTTTGGCATCGACTCAATGAGAGAGACAGAAATGAGAACGCTTTGAGTGCTTCCATGTCACCTTGGATGAAAGGAGGTGAAAATACTTGATATCAAAACCTGTAATTGATATCAGTGATGTGCATCAGGACTGATGTAACGAGTTGACTGATTATCTCGCATGAAATTGGGGGTCTGCATGAAGTAGCTATTTGAGGGTATAGGAAAACGTTAGTGAGACACTTCTGACAGTCGCAACATTAATTTAACTGTATCATTTCTACCTGTAAAAAATAAATAAATCGAGGCGGTAATTACGGATGGCTTCTTAATGTGAAGCAAGTAAAAGATGCTGAAGAAAAGACCTTAACACATCTGTTTTAATCAGTTTAAGCAATTGGTTGGGGCAGCCATGAAAACAAATGGTGTTTTCCACCCCTGTCATCTGGAATTTATGGTGGATTTTCCACAAAATCAAATCCCACATTTCATGTTGGTGCCAGCCAAGTTAATGTCTAGCATGTCTTTAGTAAGATGTAAACTTTGAAATCTGTTCCTACTCCTGATGCCAGATGTGTCCATTTCCTCAAACAGTCCACACCCTCGGTATAACGAGCTAGATGGAGTATCTCGTTTGCAGACACGTCCACCCAAATAGACTCAGTAGATTGGAAGCACTTTGTGAGGGGCCTTGCACTGACCTGTTGCCTGCAAGAAATCAGACTTCTCTGTTTCATGGGTTCTTTGACGTGTGCAGAGAGGGGCAGCGTTTGCCTGTAAAAATGATGCAGACCCCTTTTCTCATGAAGCAGAGAGACAAAACCGTTAGGTTTGTTACAAGCTAAGCTTCACGGGAGAATGTCTTATTCCAGCGCAAGGCTTCGGTAATCGCGCGCTGGCTCAGGGACTGCAGAGGGAGAGATGGAAGGAGGAAAATATACTGACTTCAACATTGGGAAAACTTTCAGACATTTATGCCTCGCCAAAAAAATGAATAATCTGTCCCACTCAATAATGTTAAATGACATGCACAACACATGTTAGAGGTACAGCCGAGGTTAATGTGGTCAGTAACTCAGAAATAGTGAAATGCTAAACATTTTTAATTTGTCTTTTCTTTCCAGTTTGTCGAAAACCTTTATGTTCTAAGCAACTTTTTAATTCACAAAAAAATTTGCTCAAAAGTAATGAGACTGCAGTGTTACTATACTCCTCTCAACAGATTTCTCCTCTTTGGTTTTTGACCCTACCTGTTGAAAATTTGTCTATGCTTGGCTGCAAACAAGATTCAAATCCTTATATCCCAGGTGAACGTGTTCTTTCATAACATCTCTGCCCTGTTGGGCTATTGACCTGGGACGTCTGGGAATGTCTCGTGCCTTCTCATTGGATGACTTTGGCGATGTGATCCCTTGGGCCGTATGGGTAGCTGTGTGGTGTGGTGTTTGCTCCAGTGCATCTCGCAGCTGTTCAATCACCTTAGGATGTTGGAAGCTGTACTCATCAGTTTTTGCATTGTAGTGGCTGCATTGTCCTGCTGAGTGAGGAATCGGGCGAGGACGAGTGACGTTACCATTGTTGTCACACACAAAAAAAACCTGCGCTCAAAATTAATATTAAATTAAGATACTTGTTTGCAAGAGTATCAATGCAAACAGTGGTGTCTTTGCATCTTCCAGCTGACACACAACTGCATGCAGCACCATTGTAGTCAGGCCCACAGCTCCTCCCCTCACTATCAGCGGAAGTAGTTATTGTCCATAATACCGAACAACACTTTAGAAGGAATTTCAGAGGTCAGTAAAGCTCTAGTTTCAACAACATTGAAATATTAAACAGTTATCTAACCAGCACACATGGTAATGATAGTTGTTTAAGTATTAGTAATTGCCCCATAGCCACATTAGTAATATGTTATCATTAACAGATGATAGTCGACTGTAGTTAGACAAAAGATGAATAATTATTGCAGGCTGAATGGGCTATTGAGCTGTGACAGACTGGATTACAGATACATGGAGAACTGGGCATTTTTCTGGCTTTTCAGAGCAGTTGGGGAAGCATAGTTGAACTGAGCAGAGAGTCCAAAGTGTGGAGAACTAATTGGAGCAAATAGAGAGTGAAATCTGGAGCAGTGCAGCAGAATTGGACGGGTTTCAGTCTTGAAGAGCAGAGCTGAGTATGTGAAGAGCTGCAGACTGAGGAGCAGTGTGAACTGTATTCAACATCTGCTGCCAGCAGATGTGGACCAGATGATAAACTTGAGCTTTTTTTTTTTTTAAATTTTTAAATTTTTTCTTTTTAACAAATGTTTATTAAAATCTGTTTCTTGTTTTGTTGTTGCCAGCTGTGAGGTCAGTTTTAAAATCCAATCAAAGACCGGTTAAGTCTTTCACAGTTTTTGTTCGTGAAGATAAATTTCTTTAACCTTCAAAATCTGTAATTTTGGGAAAATTAGTTTAAAAAAGTTAACTTTTTCACAATATTACTACTTTGACATTATTTAGTTGCAGGATGCAGAAAATCTTGCCTGTGGTATTGAAAAGGGTATCGAATATTTTTCTGCGTACAAGTGTCGAGTTTGAAATTCTAGTATCATGACAACTTCAGACTGCCTCAATGCTTAGTTGGTTGGTATGTGTCACAGTAACATGTACAAATGCATAATACATAAATACCAGGGGCGAGGATTTTCCAGCAGAATGTTTTGTTGTAATGAAATAATGTATAATGTTATTCACTTTGCCTGCCAGTGGTTGTAAGGTAGTGCTCAACTGGTCTGGTCTTGAAAGACCTGTGATTGGCCCATCGGCTATATTTTCTAAATATGTTTTCTAAAGCTGGAAAACAGCAAAGGTGCAGGAGTTTTGCTCTTGCTTTTTGAATTGCAATAAACTGAAAGATAATTATGGAGTGTCAGTTGATGGTAAAAACAGAGAGTCTACCCCGGCTTCAAATCAGCATTTTTTTTTTTAAAGTAAAAGTTTAAGAGGTGAATCACAAAAGACGTCCTAGGGCTTGTGTTAAATCACAAAAGTCTGACAACATTTTTGCTCAAGAGCTGGAGGACATAGAGTATAATATATACAGTATATTACATAAATACCAGTGAGTGGCTTTATTTTTCCTTTGTCTACATGTTGGTTGTGTCTGCGTGTGTACATAACAAAGTCCTCGGTGCAGTTGGTGTATTTTCAGTGGGACAGTGTTGTGTAATAGCTGCCAGACGTCACTCTGGGCCAGCTGAGAATGCTAAAACATTCATGTCCGTTGCCTCTACCCCCTCCCCCCTCCAATTTCCCGATTTAAATTTAATGAGTTATTTTTCTAAACTTCCCAGTTTGTCTCCACGTGCAGTGTTGTTCAGCTGTGCAGAGCAGCGCAGGGTGGGGGTGGGTTTGTGGCATTGGAGATTGAAGCAGTATGCTAGCATTTTTTTTGCCACTTCAGAAGAAGAAAACAAATAAAACATACACGTATTTAACTCTCAACAACAGCATTTAATAAGAAGGTGAGAGGGGTGTTGTGTATAAGTTTTATTGGAAAGCTTTTTAGGTATTTTCAGTAGATTAGAAGGGCCAACAGTGCTGCCCACATATGCCTCTATTTTTACTTACTTTACAAAATACTGTTAACACTGTGTTAATAGTACACTAAAACTAAAATCCTGGGGCACATTTATTAGAAGTAAAGAAATACAAAACGGCGTGATTATGCCCTGAAATAATTTTGAAATAATGGTTATCTTTTGATGAACTTTTTTATGTTTAATGTGTTTTTTGTAAGTCATGTTAACAACCAGCTAGCCAAAGGTAGCTACACTGTAACAATATATACATATTGGTAAAAAAAAAAAAACTATACATAATTTAAAGTACTTACTAATATAACATTATACTTGTATAACTATGCATGTGACAAATAAAGAACCTTGAACATTAAACTGTGGTTAAATGTTCATGTTTCAAAAAACTTGTTAGTTTTAGCTATGTCAAATTACCTTAAAACTCTTCATCCTGCTTCTCAGGAGCGGAACCATCCACCTTAAGATTGCAAATTTCATAATATTTAAAATATAAGTATCAGATGTTCATGTAGAAGTAGTAAGATGACCTGGAGAACAAAATGAAGCGAGGTCAATGGGAATGTGTCCAGTGCCAGAGATCTGTCGTGTGGAAACACATGAAAACCTTCATAAAATGAATGAGGAGGTACTTAACCTTAGATTGCATGTGCGTGCACAGAGAAACAGCTGACTCAGAGAGCGGGAAACATTGAATGAGGGGTACAAGAAGGGGAGGGGAGGCAAGGTGGCAGAGAGGTGAGGAGAGAGTAGTAATGAGAGAAGGAGGCATTGGAAGTGAGGAAAAACGAGACAGGGAAAGAGAAGGAGACGGAGATGTCTTTGTGTAAACGGTAGCTGCCGTCCTCTCGTGTAAGCAGGCTCCTCATTGGCCAGCCCGAAGCCCCCGTGTGTGTGAAGGAAGTATCACCAGGGAAACTTCTTCTCGCTGCCACTGTGCGTGTTTTCCTCCTTGCCAGGGTTATTTTTAAATACCATTCGGCTTCCTGCTCAGACTAAAGACTACAAGCCACAGCATCTCTGTTTTGTTATTTTCAGGATTTTGCCAGTATACACACACCAACAAAAAAAAGCTGCAACAATGTTCTCTTCTTCTCCTCTACCACAGTTACATTGCAGGCTCTTTGCAAAAATGGGGGACGACCGACCTTTCGTGTGCAATGCTCCTGGATGCGGACAGGTAAGTCCTCTCTTTTCATGTCCTGCTCTCTGTGGTAGTAATCTTTGCCTTTTGTAATTGCTTACCAAAGGTCAGTACTGCACTTCACAGTATTGTACTTCTCAAAGAAAACTATATGAACCCGAAAAATAAATAGACATTCTTTTTGAGAACGCACTGGTTTTAATGTAGCGCTATATACAACAACCCTGACAAGATACGCTCTCACTGCAAGCGTAAACGGACATATTTACGCAACACTTATAATTAACATCACACCGATGACATTCATGCTAGCACGCCGTTTTGTGAGACAATGCTGTCTCCTTTTGCAATGACTCACTGGAAGCTCCAGTGAGTAATCAGCACCGTTATTGTTTCAACCTGTCACTGCTGACTTCTAAGCGCCTGCAGACACAGGTTTGAGCCGAGGCAGTGACTCAGCTGAGTGCCAGTAGTGCACTCACATGTCTGTTACGTGGTGTTTCGACGAGGCTTGGTTTGATATCATAGAGTAGAAGAAGGAAGAAATTAAAAAGGAGTCTGTTCTTAGACTCATGATTATTCAACACAGGAAATCATCATGTCTGGTGCTGTGTTCATTTGGGTGCGATATCCTTAGAGCTAGTAGTGAAATGCCTCCTGGGAATCTGAAGGAAGAAAGTGTTTATGGGTTTACGCAACACTTGGGATTCTTGGGACTTCTTCCATGCTCTGATCAGAAGAATGGGATTGTGGTTTGAACAGCAGTCATGTAAAGCAGTTGAACATGCATAGTCGATAAATAAGTGATGATGAGTTGTTTGGTAATTTTCTTTTCAGAACATCGCAGACATCTAGGGACCCTTCCTTTGTCTTTCTTTACATGTTTTTGTGATGTAAATACTCTGCATATTTCATTGGTTTGATTATTAATTTATTTTACTGCTTAAGCAACAGAGACCTAAAGAGGCAAGGTGATGTGGATGACGGTGCTGGTCTGCAGCTGTGTCACCCTCAAAGCATTGTTTTAGAGCCAGACTGTTGTATAAACAGGTGTGGGATGGCAGAGTGGTGCTAGATGTTTGGGTATGTTGTCAGTATCGCAGTGCCACCTCACTTTAGAGAACCCGTACAAGGTTATAAACAAACAGTTTTCTTTCTTTTATTTTGGTTGAATCTATGTCAAAGGCAGAAGAAATGCAAAACAAAAAGAATGAGAAAAGAAATCACATTTGTTTAGCATCTTTTAAGAAACACAG